TACGAGAAAATACAAAACAACAAAAAATAGATAGATTTTAGGAAAAGTTCTGACTGTCTCTTATTAGATAAAGATGACACTGGTCTAATTCTTTCGGCCCAGCCCTGAGCGGGGATCACATTAGAAACCCCACACGAGCACGCACAGAAAAAAAAATCGGTGTGGCCCGTCGCGCAATGGCCCGGCACGACCCAGCCCCATTAGGCACGAAATTTTACAAATAAATCTATTCTTACATGTATACATACAAAAATGCGATTTTAATTTTTTTACGTACATATATTTTTCATATAATTTTTCTGGGAATTAGTCCGAAAATATTAAGTCAAAAGTAAAAATTTCGCATAGCTTTTACGTTGCGACAAAAACCAAAACATTTCAAAACAATCAATACTTCCACGAAACTGGGGGCCTTTAAATCAGCTACCGAAAATAACAGTCAAATATCAAGATTTATTTATTTTTAAATCATTGGACTTTTATTTTTTTGTGCAAATTTAATCGTTATTTTTTTATTATTATTATTTTTATAGATTTTTTTTTATACCATTTTATACCGTTACAGTTCTTATAATCGATGTAAATCTTTTGTGATCCTAAAAATTAAACCTGATTGCAATAATATGACAAAAATAATATTATTCTTGAAAAAAAAAAATTAAAAACCACAAAATAACGGTTAAATTTGTTTGAAAAAATAGAAATCCATTTTAAACGGTAAAATTCGGTCACTGAAAAAGTTACCAAATTACCAAACTTGATAAATAAAGAAAGCTATTACCAATTTTGGTTAAAAATTACCAAAGCGGCAACGCCGGCCGAAGTCCTCGCCTGCCAGCGCCTTAGTTTGTAAGTGGAATATTTAATAATTTTTATTATTATTACATACCCTTTTTAATAAATAAATGGATATTAGTAGGTTTTATTTATGTATGCAAACAGTAAATTTGACTAACAGAAATTTCACATCTTATCAGCACTTGAGATCATAAATACTCTATATTAAAACAAACAAAAAAAAAACAACTCATAATCAACAGTTAACATTGATAATGGAAAAATTTAGCCACAACGTAGCCTGCCTGTGGCACATTGTAAATAAACAAATGTACATACATACATAAGTACATATGTATGTATACAAATGTGTAGTATGTATGTATGTATGTGCAAGCCAATATGTTTGCAAAATACCTTGGCACATTTTCGCATACAAATCGTAATTTTGAATTAAAATCACCAAACAGAAGATGCTGGTAAACGACAACCGGAAGACACAACAGCCATTAGTTACGTCTCGCTTGTTTATATATTTTTGTGTTGATGGTTTTTTGCACCACCATTGATTTAGGCGATGTTTGTGCGCCTAGACGTAGGCTACAACAATTTTCATTCATACTGCTGCCGCATTTATCAATTTGTATGCCCTTGCTGGCAGCCACAATGATGGTTCAATTCTCAATTACTAAATCCAAACAAACCAGTTCAAATGGATTTTTGTCGACTTAAAAAAAGTAAAAAGTGTATTTTTGGCGCACCATAACGACCTTTGCGCACATTTAATAGCGAGAGCATTGAGGGGCATTGGCGCACTGCCACAGTCGACTTACGTACATACATATATAAGTGGTACAAATATTTATACGCATTTATGGCAAATGGAGCAAATGCAGCTTGAATTTTCTTCTAGAAAAATAAATTCAATTCACTTATAAAGTAAGAGTAAGAGTGCATAAGCTAGTGGGACTATGACCTTAAAAGTGTATAAATAGAATTATCAAAACATTTGTACAGACTTATACATACTTGTAAGAGCAATGAAAAGACGCCTACATACATATGCACATACATATGTATATGGCCATGCCTTTAAGAATTATAATTCGGTTCACTATTTTTTTAAATCCTTTTTGGCTACCCTCGAACAGCTAAAACTTTTCCAGTGTGTTTTAAGGTCAAATCTCCTTGTCTAAACATGCGCGTGTGTACGCACAAGAATTGGCAATTCCGTGTCATTTGGCGTGAATACCACTCTTTTTTTTTACTTCACAAGTAATAAATATTTCGTGAAGTAAACAAGTTTTCTTGAAATGCATAGGTACACCGTGCTGCATTTGAATAAGTAGGTACATTTTTATATAAATAAAATAAAAAATAAAATAATAAAATAAAAAATAAAATAAAATAACAAATCAATATGGTTGTCAAACGAAAGGGGTTCCAAAACTATTCATTGCAAACATAAAATATCTTGATGTGGATAACAAGCGAGAAATGTGTAAGAAATATTTATTTGAAAATATTTTTGAAGAGGGTTGCTACCTGTTCAAATATTAAAACCAATTCCAATACTTAGCAAGTTAGATAGAAAAAGGTATCATACGGGACAGGTTTTAAGAAAGCTTTAGATATTTCGAAAATATTTTTGACGTGCATCAGTCACCAGTTTAAGCTTTTAAAATCATTTTAATTGACCTAACTGGTCATACTGATATAAAATGGGGAAAGTTTGTGAGTGAATTATAAGATCAACGAGATTTAAAAAAAATTTAAACAAATTTATACGTTTTCAAAAACTTTTTAAACAAAATATAAAAATTTAAAGAAAATTTAAATTAAAAAATTACTTAAAAATAAAATTTAAAAAAAACCAAATAACGTTATAAAAAAACAAATTAAATAAAACCAAAAATATTTTTTCTTTTTAACTGAGTAAAATATACTTACTAAAAAACATAAACTAACAAAAGAAAAACAGATAAAATTTAAAAGGAAGAAAGAAATAAAAAAATGATTTTGAAAAATAAAATGAAATTAAAAATGTTTTTTTAACAATAAAACCTAAATATTGAAAGAAAAGTAAACTAAAAAACCACTAAAGAAGAAAAAATAAACGGAATGCCTAAAAATTAAATGAAGTAAAACAAATATATTTTTTTCTTAAAAACAAGAAAGTACAAAATTTAATAAGAAAATGAAATAAGTAAAAGAAAACAAATTAAATAAAAAATAATACATGAAATAAAATTCTAAAAATTATATGTAATTTAAAGTAATATTTGTTCGTTTTTAAACAATAAAATTTAAAAGCTTTGGAGAAAATTACGCTAAAGAAAAGAAACAAATTAATTGAAAGAAGCAAAAAATATGTTCCTAAAAATTAAATGAAAAAGAAGAAATATGATTTTCCTTTTAAAACAAAAAAACTATAAATAAAAAGAAAATTAAATTAAAAAAAATTGTAAATAATAAAAAAAATTGTGTAAATTAAAAAAGGTACCGTTGCCCGAGGACTGTGCTTTGCTCGCTCGGCCATTGCGACTGTCTGAGCAGCGAGAGATTACCCAGCAAAAAACACGATTACCACAGAAACGAAAGTGGAAACGAGCTAGGCGATGGGAATCGCTTACCGTTTCGCTTCAAGAAGGCCTTATTTTAACATGGGCATGTCATTGGAGGTAAGCCCTTACCCGCAGCATTACCTTCAAACGAAGGGAGAACGCATGGATAAACAGAATCCAGAGAAGCGAACAAAGAATGCCTTACAGAGAAACTAATGTAGAATGCCTAGATAAGTACATACTTATTTATATTAAATTGAAATCAGAAAATGTCTTAAAAGGTTAAAATTAATTAAAATTTTTATAAATCAGCGTACATATGTATGTATTTAGGTATTTAGATTTTCTTTAAAATCGGTATGTACATACATGCATATTTAATTAAGCTTAAAATTGTACTTCCTCACTCTTGTACGTCACTTCATTGACTGACTTCAACTTCGCTGCAAATTGAACAAAGCAAAACATGATTTTTATGCGAGACAAATTTCCACAGAAAGTAACGGTAGAAAAAGAATTTTTGGATATTCATTCCATTTTTCAGCTGACTACGATGCAGCATTCTACTTTGCATTCCCCGAAATGAAGCAAAGAAGCGAAACAAATAAAATATTGTAGGACATTCTACTTTGCATTCCCGGAAATTAAGCAAAGAAACGAATTAAAAAATAAATATTATAGGACATTCTACTTTGCATTCCCCGAAATGAAACGAAGAAGCGAGATAAATAAAATATTGTAGGACATTCTACTTTGCATTACTGGCAATGCCTAAAAGAAGCGAAAAAATTCGAAGGCATTATAACGCTATGCCTTCTAGAACCCGTTACCACTAAAAGCGATTACCGATTTTTTGCTGGGTAATGATATAGAAGTACTTTCTCTTAAAATAGCTTTTCAGCACGAGTGGTGAAAGAGAGAGAGTTTTTTCTAACACTTTTGTGCTTGAATAACAAAGGCCTTTCGAACTAATATCGTGCCATCTGTCTTTCATTTGTCTTACGAAAGACTTTTTACTATCTTAGCTAGAATTGCCCTGTTATTAAGAAAGCTTATGTTTGAATAACAAATCCAATTCTTTCAAAAGCTTTCATAAAATTACGTCAAATTTCTCATTTCAACGAGGACTTTCCATATCGGCTGGGAAATAATACTTCCGGGTGGTATACTTGTATGCACATTAGGGTGGTCCAAAATAAATAAAGCCGGAATTTTAATGCTCTCACCCTCTATGATTGTTCTATATCGAAAAAATATAGTTATGTACTTTGAAAAAATGGTTAAATAAATAATTGGGTATTATTATTGGGGATATTTCTACGAAAAGTGGTTTTTTCCCGTATAAAATATTTTTTGATTTCAATATTTTTTTCGATATAGAAAACTTCAAGGGGGTAAGAGCAAAAAAATTTCCGATTTTTTTTGGGCCACCCTAATGTGCATAGTATATGCCGCCCGTACAAACGAAAATAAGGTTAAACTGAAAAAGGTATTTCTTAGAATCGAAAGGTGATTAATCTAATAGATATATTTATTTTTTGTTACCTATCCATATTTGTTGACATAGATGCATACATACAATAATTATTACTTTTGGTAAATCATTAAAGAATAAAATATAATAGAATACTTATTTTTCTGTCTAATTTTTCTAAACAGGAATGCACGCTGGAAAAGATGAAATCATCCGATACATGGCTTTTCGATTTGAATAGCTTTGCGTACTTCGACACTGGCATTCGGGATGGTCCGCTGATGAACTGCCAAAAAGTGGTGGCCAGAGATCGTAAGTGAAACTGTTTTCTGTTTATGTAACTTCATTCCTTAGATACTTAAGCTTCTCAGCACATTCAATTTTATTCATTTTTTTTGTCTCATTTTCCCCATTTTTTTGTAATTTTATTACCCTTTCACAGCCCACACCAGCAAAATAGTAACAGCACGATTCTGTCAATTGGACACCGCCGATTCGGATGCCTGTCAAATACTGGGCAAGAGGTTGGGTTGGCCACCGGAGTTGGCGCGCAATGCCAATGCCAATAATAATGATAACAAAAACAACAACAATGCAAAGCGTAAGCTGAAATATGGCAATAACGGTAATAATGGCGGCGGCGGCGGCGGCACAGATGANTACATACAGATTCTCTCCGTCCTACTGTCCACCACTACATGTATTGTTGTTTGTATATTTTTTGTTTACATTTACGGTATTTCGACTTGCCTAAATTCTCTTGTTTATGTTTAAAGCTCGGAACACTTTGACGACAGCAAGCGACAAGCAGCATTTGTCAAATTTTAAATACACACGTTCTTACGGACACAATTATTTTGACGA